ACTCAAAACAAAAAAACAAAAAACAAAACTCTGAGAGTTGAACTTTTAATAGAGTTAACTTCAAAGACTAGATGCTATTTTGACTTCAAAAGTTGAAAGATTAAAACAAGAATTTTTTTTATATAAAAATGCTTATACTATCATTCCGTCAAAAAATGAAAAAAAAAATACTTATACAATCATACTGCACACAAATATAGCATTTAGCCAATAATAAATAAATACATACACGCATAAAAATAAAAATCTGATAGTAAGTGGACTCATCTCTTTTGTGAATCTCAAAATTGCGGGATTTTTGTGAATCTCAAAATTGCGGGATTTTTGTGAATCTCAAAATTGCGGGACTTATTATAATTTGGTATGCGGTGCCGGAGAATGGTGATGCCTCTAGCATTGCCACTTTATACATCCATTACGATACAAAATTTCCTATATTACATTTAGCTCTTATTTATGTTTCAATTATTTTGCAGCTACTAAGATTTTTTTTTTTTTTTTTGAAAATTATGACTTAGAGTTAAAATAATTATATATATTTCTGAAGCAGTAAAAATAATTCCATATGTTAAACTGAAAATAATTATATATGCACTAGGACACAGTATTTAACTAATAGATTATTGTAAAATCATATTAAACTCAAAAAAAAAAAAAATATAATAAGAGTTCAGTGAAATTTAGGTTGCGTTTGGTACGAGAGTTTTAGAATCGGAATCATAATTTTAGTTTAAACTTTTAGTTGTTTGTAAAAAGTAAAAATAGTTCTTAAAAATTAGTGTTTAATTTGGATAGTTCTGATTTAAGATTTAAAATTTTGATGTGATGTTTTAAATCAAAACTGCTAAAAAAAACCGCATTCCTCTTGATTTTGAATAATTCACACCACTAATTTTAATTTCAATTCTATAACTATGATTTAAACTCTAAATTTAAATCATAAATCATAATTTTAATTTTAAAATTAAAATTATTCTAATTTAAATGGTCATACTAAACGTAAATCTAATAAAAATACAAGGTTAAAAATTATGTCCTGCCATTCTCTATCTAAAAATTTTCTTTTTAATTTCTTTTCTTTTTCTTTTTAATTAACTACTAATGATTGTTGAGTGCTGGCTGTGAAGAACCTGTCAGAGAAGACGCTCTTTTTTTTTTGTTGTTGATAATTTGTCTGAGAAGACGTTGTTTGGTACAAAGGAAAAGGCAACTGAAAAGGTTGGTGAAAGTAGACACAGAAGAAAGGAACAAAAGAACACGTCAAATCAAATTCTTTTCTCCTTTAATTTTTTTTAAACCCTCTCTGTTTGTGAATAAAGGCTGGAAAATGGGAAAGAAAAGGAAAAAAAAAAACATAGAGGGTCCGGCAATATGTGAGGTTGTTGTCTTTGTAAGATTGATTTTATCTCCCCATCGCTTTCTACCTTTTCATACTGAAAGTGAGATGGCCTGTGAAAATCAACGGCTCGGACAACCGAGTCATTGACTCAGTTTTCCGTGTAACTCGTCCTGGCTCGATATTCTTTGGTGCCCAGCCAATTGTTGGAAAAAAAAAAAGTTTGGCCTTTTGTTGTCCACTGACAGTCAAAGCTAGTATAAAAGTTTTAGTGGACGTTTTTTTTTTTATATTCATTTTTTATTTTAAATTATGATTTATAATATTTTATAGTATTTTTTTTTATAAAAAATATACGTAAAATGAGAATAATTCTGAATACATAAACTAAACGTCCTCTTAGGTCTCGTTCGTTTCACTGATTCGAGTTTAGAATTCGAGTTGAGATGTGATTGTATGTGAGAGCTTTTTACTGTAGCAAAAAAGTTAGATGTTATAATTTATGAGAGCTTTTTACTGTAGTAAAACTCGAATTCTAAACTCGAATCAGCGAAATGAACGAGACCTTAGTGATTTTTGTTTCGTTGCTTAAAACTTTTGTTATAATATATTTTTTTATAAAAATTTAAATTTTTTGGTTTGAACCTATACATTAAATAACACCTAATTTTTCGTATTTTTTTCATTCTATGTTTTCTGCTGCTAGCTAGTTAACTTAAACATAATAGTAATTAGGAATCAAACACTTTCTTCAAAGTGTCAAAGCTTCGTTAAAAAGCCACTTTTTTCTTCTTAAGGGAACTTCTAACTTTTCTAAATTCTACTTCCTAACCATTTAGGGCAGCATTTTATGTTTGATTGGAAAGGATTTGGAGTAACATAATTAAATTACACGCATTATTGGAACTTTTTTTTTTTTTTTTTAATGACAGGATTGATTGTTATTTGCTTTGGCATGCAGAAGAAGCAACTGACGTGGCACGAATCTACAAGACAGAGATGTGATCGAGCAACTCCCCCCAACACAACTACTATACTCAGTTCAGTTGAGCTAAAGCTTATCTAATTCTTAAAAAATGAAAAAATAAAATAAATAAAAAAACTACCTCGGAAGCTAAGTTCAACTGAGCCATGACAACTCGTTTGAGTCAACTCTCCCTATCTTTTTTTTTTCTTTAAAAAAAAAAAAATATATATATATATATATATACACACATATATATTTCACAAGTCATATATTGTATTATTATTAACCATGCGAAAACGAAATTAGAAAAAGGAAAAGAAAAGAGCAAATTACACGTAAGCGTACAGTAACGCTGACTGTCACTTTTGGCGCACTCAAAGTGAGTGGACACAGCATCTCTCTCTAAAAAGAAAAAGCACGATGATCACACATTGATACTCAACAGCTCATGACCCAAGAGTCAAGAGTGCCCAAAACTCGGGCAAAGAAGAAAAAGATCTTTCTTTAAAGGGTAACTGACGTTTTAACTTTTTTTAATAGGTGACATTTTAGGCGCGTTTTGCACTCATTTTAAAATAATTTTATTTTTTATATAAAAATAAAAATAAAAATATTTTTAATTTTAGATAAAAAATTATTTTTAAAAATATGTTTGATAATTTTATTAAGATATTATTTTTAGTATAAAAAATTAAAGATGAGAAAATAAAAACACTCATTTTATACTAAATTAAAAAATTATTTTCATTTTTTATTTTTATTTTTATTATGTCAAACACCGTTTTAAAAACCTTTTTATTTTTTTCTTAAAAAACGTGAAAAATAAAAACAGAATCAATTCTAAACACGACATTTGATTTTTTTTAATTTTAACAAAAATGTCCTTAAACTCGATAAATATTGACAATTAAGTCTTTTTTATCTACTTTTATTAAATTTTTGACAGAACCCGTGCACAACATGTGCTCTAATTTAGATGGGTATTGGTAAAATAATTTTTAATTTATAGTTTAATTGAAAGAAAATTCTGCAGGTCTAAGAAACTTAAAGAAACCCAGAATTAAAAAGTTAAATACTCATCTCAAAACGTTCATTAACATATATTAATAGAAAAAAATTGATCTTTGTCGGCGATGACTAGCTAAGCAGAGGCGAATGTATCTGATCGGAGAAAGACATCGACATGTGAGGACGGGGCGGGGGCGATAACGGTGCTGCGAGCGAGGAGGGCTCCGGGGAAGAGGATGGCGTTGGAGGTGAGGACGTTGGGCAATGGTGGCACTATGCGAGCGTGGGTGTGGGCAGTTGGCGATCGTGAGTCTGGGAAAGGTGACAACGGCGGGGGAACAAAAATTGATCTTTGCTGGCGATGAATAGCTAAGCTGAGGAGAAAGAGAGGGGCGGAGGCGATCCTGGGTTTGGGCAATAAGAATAGATTTATTAATGGGTTTCTTCATTGAGATTCGTGCTTTGTTGCTTTGATCAACAAGAAAGCAAGCTATAGCCTTGTTCATTTCGTCAATTTGAGTATAAAATTTGAGTTTTGTTATAGAAAAAAACTTTAAAAAATAATCACATTTAATTTTTTTATTACAATAAAAAGTTCTCACATAAAGTCACATCTCAACTCAAATTAAAAATTCGAATCAATAAACTAAACGGCCAATGAGTTCATTATTTAAATAATCAGAATTACAAATTTTCAACTCTAAAAAGCTTGATAAAAAAGTGTATCAAAATGAGCTTTGAAGCTTTTCTCTACTTTAGGGAAGAAAATTTTTCTATTTTTGGTGAAAAAAAGGTAATTTTTCAACTTGTTCAAAAGAAAGAGCTTTGATGCATTTTCTTGAAGATTTTTTATGTGGGTATGTTTAGATTTATTCTCAATATTCTGGGTAGTGTGAGATCATGGGTCTAGACATTCCATTCCCATGTTGATTCCTTCCAACCAAACGCCACCTGAGATTTTTTTTTTTTTTGGTGAGGTTAGAGGGTATTTTTATCTTTTCATGGGAAAAGGGACATGTGATAGTCACATGCAAGATTATGTTATAAATTAACGAAAAATAGACGGAAAGGGCTTAGTCAACATATGTAGAGTTTAAAGACATTTTCACCAAAATTAAAAAAAGAAGGATCAAATTGTCATCTGTTAAAAATGTTAAGGACTAATGGTGTCAATTACATTTTTTTTTTAAATTTAAGTCTCATTCAATTCGCGTATTTAAATTTTCAATTTGAATTGAAATGTAATTTTATATAAAATTTTTTACTATAACAGAAAAAATTAAAATACAACTTCTTATACAAATTTTTAATTATAATAAAATTAAAATTAAAAACTTAAATTGATTAAATAAAGGACGCCTTAACCTTATCCTTATTAGTTTAATCTAATATAATATAATAATAAAAATAGAATCTATGCTCACTAGTCACCACCTGTTGTTTCCTTTCCAAATGCACTTCTCTCCTGTGGGCCCCCGCCACCACCTTCACGGTGGACCCCACGCTCATATCACCATCACCCAAGAAGCAACCGCAACATTCTATACTCTCTCTCTCAGAAGACACTCTCATTAGTCATTCCCCTCTTCACCCAATAAATAATTTAAACCCCTCAAGCTCTACAAAATCTTTATATAATATTATTACAACGGAACAAACCCCTTTAATTTTAATCTTTTCTTCCTTTTTATTTTTCAGTTAGTAATCTGTCAAATAAAAAATCGTGTTTTTAAATTTTTTTTTTCCTTTGAGTTCAGTTTTGTGTGGGGGTGTACCGTGTATGTTCGCCGGCGATGCCTACGCCGGTAAGCGTGGCGAGGCAATGTTTGACGCCGGAGGCGGGCCACGCGCTGGACGAGGCGGTGGCAGTGGCGCGCCGCCGCGGCCACGCCCAGACGACGTCGCTCCACGCGGTGTCGGCGCTCCTTTCCCTCCCGTCGTCGCCTCTACGCGACGCGTGCGCGCGTGCGAGGAACTCTGCCTACTCGCCCCGCCTCCAGTTCAAGGCCCTCGAGCTCTGCCTCGGCGTGTCTCTGGATCGGGTCTCCTCGACCCAACTCGCCGACGACCCGCCCGTTTCGAACTCGCTCATGGCAGCCATTAAGCGCTCCCAGGCTAACCAGAGAAGACAGCCCGAGAACTACCATCTCTACCACCAGATTCCCCAGCAATCCTCCATTGCTTGCGTCAAAGTCGAGCTCCAGCACCTGACGCTATCAATCCTCGATGACCCGGTCGTGAGCCGGGTTTTCGGCGAAGCGGGTTTCCGGAGCTCCGAAATCAAGCTCGCTATTCTACGCCCCTTCTCTCAGCTCCTCCGTTACTCTCGCTACAGAGGCCCGCCGGTTTTCCTCTGCAACCTAACTGAATACCCTAACCGGAGCTCCGGATTCGCCTTTCCCGGATTCTTCTCTGACGGCGATGGGAACTGCCGCCGAATAGGGGAAATCCTCGGGAGGAGCAAGGGGAGAAATCCCCTGCTCGTCGGAGTATGCGCGTACGATGCGCTCCACAGCTTCGCGGAGGCGATTCAGAAGCGAAACGACGGCGTTTTGCCCGTCGGATTGTCCGGCATAAACTTAATATCAATCGAGAAAGATGTTTCGAAGATTCTGGCCGAAGATTGCGACGATAATGGCTTTGGAGAGGTTAATCAGGTATTGGACCGAGCTGTTTCGGGACCTGGCTGGGTCGTGAACTTCGGAGACTTGAAGAGCTTCGTCGACGACGATTCCAGAGACGACAGAGTGATGAATGCCGTCGGAAAAATCACGAAACTGTTGGGGATTCACGTCGGAAAAGTGTGGTTGATCGGCGCGACGGCGAGCTACGAGAGTTACTTGAAGTTCGTGAGCAGATTTCCGTCGATTGAGAAGGACTGGGACTTGCAGCTTCTTCCAATCACTTCTCTCAGATCATCTTCTTCCATCGCCGAACCGTATCCCAGGTCTAGGTAAGTTCTATTCTGCGATATAAATTTTTCTTTTAATTTTTACGTATAATTTTCTGTCTTCTCCGATTTGCACGAAAGGTTTGTTGATGGACCTCTCAATTAATTGTATTAAAATAACATCTTTACATTGATTGAGTGCAGAAACAAAAAGGTATTTTGTTTGCTTCTGAATTGTTATATATAAAAGTATTTAATTATTGTCTTGTTCTTGCTTTGCTAGCAATTTTGTTTTCGGGTCTCTTTTTCGTCTGTCACATATTGCGATTTCTGAAAGGATTCGCTTAGGAGATTTTGTTTGTTTGCGAAGTCTGATAATAAAATATTGTAACATTTGACTTGAAATTTCTTGATGTTAATTTGTACACGTCATATTAAATTCTTAGGCTTAGTTCATAGAATGTTTTACTTCCAAAGATTTTTTTTAAACTTTTTTTTTTTTTTTTTTTTTTTTGCATGGCTGATTAATATCCAAACGCTGATTAATGCTTACCATTTTGTTTATGAAAGGTTTTTTTTTTTTTTTTTTTGGTCAAAGTGTTTGCTTTTGCTAATTTAAATTTCTATAGATTTTTTATAAGAATTGATTTGAAATAATAAAAGTACTTTCTTCAGAAATGTTTTTCTCTGTTTTGTTTTTTGATATTTGATGTAAATTTAAAAATACTATTTTTCTTATTCGTGCGCAATACAATACTATTATTCTTCCATGTTTTGCTCATTTCAGTCTTCAAAATCATCATGCTTTTGTTGGCAAGTTTAATAACTTCTACGAAGCTTTAGCAATATCTTATGACTGTTGATATCCTTAAATTTTCCCCTTTTAGGCTTCTCTCTATATTTTTTTTTTTTTTGAGCTGGACACGTTTTCCCCAACTACTCAAAATGAGCAGTGATAGATTTTCACTTTAAACCCATGTTACGTATTGTAGTCTATTTCTCAAACACGTCTTGTAACATAAATAACAAAATAATCTTCTCTCTTTGTGATGTATGTATCTTTTGACCAGCTTTTGTGAGCTTATTTCTTTGATATAATTTGGAACTATATATTTGTTTTGCCTCTTGATCATATTATCTCCATTAAATCTCACGTTTCCATGTTTTTTATTACCCCTACAGCTTGATGGAGTCATTTGTTCCGTTTGGTGGGTTCTTTTCAGCACCATCTGATCTAAAGTTTCCTTTAAGCGGTACTTTTCAATGCCCGCCTCGCTCTCTTCAGTGCAGTGATAATTGCGAACAAGATCAAGTATCCGATGTTTCCAAAGGAGGATTTACTTCTTCAGTTACAGAGCAGTGCCAATCTAGCTTACCCTCTTGGCTGCAGATGGCTGCACTTAGTGCCAACAAGGGGGGATTGGATGTAAAGGTGTGTCTCACTTTCAAAGTTTACTTAATTAGTTTGGTTTCACCTTTAGATTTTAGCCCATCTTCAATTTCGATTTCAACATATATTTGAAAGAGCAAAGGGTCATAAAATAGTTGTCCTTTGCTTAAGTAGACTAGTAGAGTTACATAATGCTTTACAATATTTGTGTGAAAACCAGTTTGTGCCTCTTCAGTGCAGACCAAAGATGGAGATTTATTGAACGCAAAAGTTCCGGTATTGCCGAAGAAATGGGATAACATGTTGCATAATCTTCATGATAGACGGCCATTGCCTAAAGTAAATTCATTTCCAACTATTATCGGGTTTAAGTCTGCTGAAGTCAAAGGTGATGATGCTAATCAGAGCAGCATCAATGTGCATGTATCTTCGGATGAAACTAACAAGTGCATGGATCTGAATTCATGTGTGCCTGAAGAGGAGGAAAAGATGTCTGCTTCACTGACAAACAATCCTCGTCCTGTGGTTTCCAAAGACAGGAATGAGAGTTTTTCATCTAGCTTGTGGGAAAAGCCTTCGAAAGATGAAGATCTCGAGTCAGGTGGCGCCAGGTCTTCTCCTTGCAGTATGTCCAGTTCAAGCATGGGTGATGGAAATCAAATTAGATCTCCTGCATCTGCAACTTCAGTGACCACAGATTTGGGTTTGGGGACATGCTTTTCCAGTGGTTGTAAGAAGCTGAAGAAACCTCAAAATCAAAATCATGCAGAGCTTCAGCGAGACATCTCAGTTTCATTCTCGGAAAATGTGGATTTAGTCAATGGACATGTCTTTTACCATACGGCTCAATCACCCTCGTTGTCTAGTCCTGACAATAATCACAGGCAGTTCGATCCAAGAGATGTCAAGATGCTTTTTGGAGCGCTCTTGGAGAGAGTTGGTTGGCAATGGGAAGCCATAAGTGCTATTAGTCAAACAATAGTCTGCCATCGAACAAGAGAAAAATGCCATGGGGCAATTCATAGAGGAGACATATGGTTGAATTTCGTTGGACCTGATAGGTCTGGCAAGAAGAAAATTGCTTCTGCCCTCGCTGAGGTACTATATGGGAACCGGGAAAATCTCATCTGTGTGGATCTAAACTCTCAAAATGGAATGATCCATTCAGAAACAAGTGGTTATGATGTGAAGTTTAGGGGTAAGACTGTTTGTGATTATATTGCTGGGGAAATGTGCAAGAAGCCCTTGGCCGTTGTCTTCCTTGAAAATGTGGACAAGTCTGATGTGGTGGTTAGAAATAGTTTGTCCCAGGCTATCTCAACTGGTAAATTTTCAGATTCTTATGGGAGAGAAGTTAGCACAAATAACAGAATATTTGTGACAACTTCAACATCCACAAAGAACCATAACATTCCAAATTCCAGGATGGAATCATCCAACTACTCTGAAGAAAGAATCTCGAAAACAAAAGGTCGGCCACTGAGGTTTATGATTGAGTTTGCTACAAGAGACAATGGAGGCGTAAGCCAAAGCAGGATAGTGTGTGAAGGCATTTCAAACCCTGCGTTTGTGAATAAAAGAAAGTTGATTGGTGTCAGTGAACCTCTAGAACAATATAACAGCTTGGACATGGCCAAACGAGCTCAGAAGAAATCATCCACAAATTTGGATCTCAACCTTCCGGCTGCAGATAATGAAGTGCAACATACAATTGAGGGAAGCCCCGAAGATGACTCTTTCTCGGATAACTCCGAGCCTTGGTTGCAAGATTTCCTCGATCAGGTGGATGAAACAGTGGTTTTCAAATCGGTCGACTTTGATGCACTTGCTGGGAAAATTTTTAAGGAGATAAAAAATGGCTTCCACAAATCTGTTCACTCAAAGTGTTTGCTAGAGATCGACTCCAAAGTCATGGAACAGTTACTCGCAGCCGTGTATTTTTCAGACGGGCACAAAGTGGTGGAGGATTGGGTGGAGCAAGTTCTCAGCAAGGGATTTTCTGAAATCCAGAAAAGGCACAACCTCACTGCTCATTCTGTGGTGAAACTAATCACTTGTGAAGGCCTCAGCTTGGAGGATCAACCACCAACAGTTTACCTTCCATCTAGAATTATCCTCAATTGACGCAGTAGAAAAGGCTTCATTTTTTGTAATTACAGTACAATGTAGCCCTTAGCTTTAGCCTATAGCCAACCCTCTTAGGCTCTGTTAATCCCGTAATTCGATTCGGTTTTTATCAGTTTATGCTTTGTTGTATGAAATGTAATTCTGGGCTCGTGTCAGTGTGATTTATCTTCTATGTACTAAATAAGCTGAAACTGTTATCCTTTTGTTAGTCTTTTTGGTTTTACCTTTTTTTTTTTTGATGTATAAATTCTATGAAATTTTGTGAAGGTTATGGAATTTCTCTACCAGGAATGAAATAGTTTAGTGAAAAACTTTCTCGCTAGTCATAGTTGGCTCATGACCCTACTGCCACCTCTATCTTGCTCTTGTCCTATCCTTGTCTATATGGACATTAGACAATAAAGGATATGCAATAAAACATAACATTGGGATTTTCATGGCCATATCACATGATTTTAGAGGCAAATAATAAAATGCTTGCTCCACACTGATCTTTCTTGTATTCCACTTGAACTAGGAGAAAGCTTTGCGACAAAGATTTCTCAGGAAATGTGAAGTAAGAATCAAAAGAGAAGGGTTTTCTAGATTTGGCTTGAACCCATAAATTTTTCAGTTTACAATAATGTCATGTGGGAAATTCGTGCAACTGTCGAATGTTGTACGAAAAGAAATAAGAAAAATAAGATGACTGAGATTAATAGAAGAAATATCTCATGGAAAAAAGAGTCGGTTTGATTCTTCTTAATGTTTGTAACTACAATATTGGAAGTTTTCAGATATATCGTTTAAATGTGTAAGTAAATGAAATCTCTTTAAAATTTATAAATATATTGTTAGGAACCCATAAATCTAAACTTCATTAATGAGATTGAAAATGAAAAATAACATAATAGAGTGGGTGGTTTTGAAGACCCGCCGACCTCTAAAACAGTGTGCAACATCTAAAAACTTCTCACAAATCTGCTCATTAACCACTTAAACTCCTATTTATACTACTAAAAGACTACTAACCACCAACTAACTATCAAATATCCAATATATATAGTAACTTATACGACTTTATGTTTGAAATTCACAGGGTCCAAAAATTCACGTTCACTATAAAAATTAAAAATACCTAGATGTACACTTCACAAGATCCAACCGTAATATGATAAACACATATAATGATTGAAAAAAAAAGAAGAAAACAAGAGAAGAATCGGATGAAACTCGTAATGAAATTACTATCATTGAAAGCAAATCCTGATGTTAGTGTTACATTTTTACTAACAAAATTACCAAGAACTTTAGAAATACCAATATCAGTAAACATTTACACTTGAGACATACCAAGTTAAACTTATGGGCCCAGGTACAAGCAAAAAAGATTCATGGGGGCCCAAATAACCCAAGACAGCGAAATTGGGGGCCTAATTAATAGCAGAGGAAATTAATATAGGGCTCCCTCCATAGAACTCACACAGCAACCGTCTCAGCCAGAGCGTTTCCCTTCCGCCATCAATCAAATCGGATCTGATCTGCAATTCTTAATTCTAAACTGAAACTTCCAGTCCCACTCTTTACCCAGCCCAGACTATTTATTTATCACTAATGGCCTTCTGAAACTGATTGATTCTCTCAATTCTATTTTTCTTCCTTCCTTGCCATTCTTCTTAAATATTCAAATTCAAATGGCGTCCTCCGTTTCTCCAAGGCCTCGCACCGTCGAGGAGATCTTCAAGGACTTCACCGCTCGTCGCTCTGCTCTCATTCGCGCCCTCACCTACGGTACTTTCTCTCTCTGAAAAATTTTAATGGAATCTACGATGAATAATGTATGACGTTGAATATGTTTCAATCTTTCGCAGATGTCGATGAATTCTATGCCCAATGCGATCCAGGTCTGTTTATCGTATTCTTTCTTATTTTGCTTCTTCTTTTTTTTTTTCTTTTTTTTTTGGCGCATTATGATGATACATGTCTCATTTATTTTATCAATTCGATTTTTAAATTTTAATTTTATTAAAAGTTAAAAACTCTCGTAAAAATCACTTCTAATTTAAAAATTTTTTACATAAAATTATATATAAATTGAAAACTTAAATCTGCAAACTGAACCGTCAACTGAACGAGACTTGAGAGATTCACGACCACGAGTTTGTTTTTGGCTTTTTTTTTTGTTTATTAGATTTATTCCGATGATTGGTTTCTTTTCCTGCATTTTCTCACAAACCAAAAAAGAAGGCTTATTTTCTTTCTGATTCTAGTTCTAGGGCTTGAGTTGAGAGCCGTGATTTGATAACATGAATTGGAGAGAATGAATTAGGAAATTGTGTTTGTTTTTGGTGCGTCCTTCAGAGAAGGAGAATTTGTGCTTTTACGGACACCCGGATGAGACGTGGGAAGTGGGTTTGCCGGCGGAGGAAGTTCCGCCGGAGCTTCCCGAGCCGGCACTGGGCATAAATTTTGCAAGAGATGGGATGAAACGCAAAGACTGGCTTTCACTGGTGGCGGTGCACACCGATTCTTGGTTGCTTTCTGTGGCTTTCTACTTCGGCGCTCGGCTTAATCGCAACGAGAGGTATAGTATTCGCTGCAATTCAACTGTCGTATCAATTTGAGATTTTTAATTGATTTGTTGTTGTTGTTGTTTTTTTTTTTTGGGCAATGCTGAATGAATGATATTTAAATGTTTCCTTACAATAACAACAAGCCTTAATCCTAACTTAATTGGAGTCGACTATATGTATTTCATTTTTTCACACAACTCTGTTCGAAATTAAACTTTCTTGAATGCTTAGATCTAGAATGTCTTTCCTAACGATTTCGGTCTACGTAATTCTTGGTCTACCCATCCCTCTCTTAGTATTAGGTGTAAGAATGTCCTCCCAAGTACGAACTGGTGCTTCTAGCGGTCTATGTTGGAGATGCCCGTACCACTTCAAGCGGCATTCGCGCATCTTATCTTCTATTGGTGCTACACCTACTTTACTACGAATAACTTCATTCCTTATGTGATCCATCATCGTATGGTCACTCATCCATCTTAACATACGCATTTCTGTCACACTCATTTTAGATATATGTTGTCTCTTAATGGCCCAACACTCATTACCATATAACATAGCTGGGCGGATTACAGTCTTATAGAATTTTTCTTTCAACTTAATAGGCATCTTGTCATCATATAAAATTCCCGTAGCATTCTTCCACTTAACCCACCTTGCCTTAATCCTATGTTGAATATCCTCTTCTATATCTTCTTCGTATTGCACTATAGACTCAAGGTACCTAAACTTTCTAGAAGCTTCAATCTCCACCTCATCTAAAGAAATTTTATCACTCTGAATACTTGAGTTACTAAACCTACAATGCATGTATTCAGTTTTCGTCCTACTTGACTTAAATCCCTTCGTCTTGAGAGTCTGTCTCCATAGTTTTAACATATGATTAACTCCTTCCCTATGTTCATCCACTAAAACTATATCATCCGCAAAAAGCATATACTATCTTGAATTTCTATTGTCAGCTCATCCATCACGATGGTGAAAAGATAAGAGGACTAAGAGCAGATCCTTGATGAAGGCCGATCCGAATGGGGAACTCTGTCGTGTAGCCTCCAGCAGTTCTTACACTTGTGGCCACCCCATCGTACTCTTTTCTAACACCCACCATAAAACTTTCATTGGCACCCTATCACATGCATTTTCTAAATCTATAAAGACTACACGTAGGTCCGTCTTGGCTTCTCTGTACCTTTCCATCAGCATCCTAAGAAAAAAAATGGCTTCCGTGGTTGATCTGCCTGGCATGAAGCCAAATTGGTTACTTGAGATGGTAGTTGTGGCCCTTAATCTCCTTTCGATAACTCTCTCCTAAAGTTTCATACTGTGGCTTATTAACTTTATGCCCTTATAATTATTACAATTCAGCACATCTCCTTTATTCTTGAAGATGAGGACAAGAATACTTTTCCTTCATGCATTAGGCATATACTTCTTCTTTAGTATCTCATTAAAAAGCTTAGTGAGCCACACAATTTCAACATCTACTAACGCCATCCAAACCTCTATTGAATATCATCTGGCCCACATGTCTTCCTCTTTTTCATCTTCCGTAGTGCAGTTTTAACTTCCGGAACTCTGATTCCTCTTGTATACATCACATTAGGTTCTCCGTGTGATCTAAGAATGTCAAACTCTATCGCATGATCATCATTATAAAGTTTCTCAAAGTAACTCCTCCACCTTTCCCTAATGTCTTTATCTATTGTCAGAACCTGATCCGTATCATCCTTAACACACCTCACTTGATGTAGGTCCTGACACTTCATTTTTCTTATCTTAGCTAGTTTATATATATCATTCTCTCATTCTCTAGTCCCAAGTTTCCTACATATCTCATCTAAATAAGTAGAACGAGCCTTATCAACTGCTTGCTTAGCTTCTTTCTTCGCTTCTTTGTACTTATTAAAAGTTTCAACATCCTTACGCTTTGGTACATCTCTATATAAATCCCTCTCGGTCCTAATAGCCTTTTGAACTTCCTCACTCCACCACCAGGATTCTTTCCTGGGGGGGCCTTTACCTCTAGATTCCTCCTAGTACCTCCTTTGCCACTTTCTAATGCAGCTACTGGCCATGGCATCCCACATAGTATTTACATCACCTACATATGACCAAGTAGCCTCATCTAACAACTTATCTTTAAAGGCCAATTGCTTTATTTCCTTAAAATGCCACCAACGAGTTCGTGGGAGGTGGTTTATCTTAATCCTTCTATAGCAAAGCTTAATGCTCACATTTAAGATCACTAATCTATGTTAGGTGGCTAGTACTTTTTCGGGAATTACTTTACAATTCTTACATAGAGAACGATCTTTATACCTGGTGAGAAAATAATCTATCTGGCTTAAGTTCATTCAATTCTTAAAAGTTATCAAGTGAGAATCTCTTTTCTTGAAAAATGTTTTTGTTATGATAAAATCATGTCCCAACGCAAATTCCAAAATAGATTTCCCTTCTTTGTTTCGAGCTCCAAAGCCAAAACCACCATGAATCCTTTCGAAGTTTTCCCTATCCTTACCAACATGCCCATTGAAATCTCCTCCAATGAAAATGCTATCCCCATTGCTTATACGACACACTAAGTCATCCATGTCTTCCTAGAACTTGACTTTAGTTTCCGCATCCAATTCTATTTGTGGAGCGTAAGCACTAATTACATAGACGAACTTATTTCCTAGTACCAATTTGAGCATAATAATTCTATCCCCTATTCGCTTAATCTCAACTACGTCATCTTTCATAGTTTTGTCCACTAGAATACCAACTCCATTGCGATTCATTTCCCAACTTGTATACCATAACTTGTGTCCTAAATTTTCAATCTTCTTTGCTTTCTCTCCTGTCCACTTCGTTTCCTGTGAGCATAAAATGTTAATTCTTCTTCTTATTATAACATCTACTAACTCCATAGATTTACCAGTTAAAGAACCTACATTCCAACTACCTAAACGAATTTTTCTATCATGGGCTAGTTCTGCCCCTTGCACACGTCCATGAATATGCAAGCACCCCCCTTGCATATTTTTCACCATATCCGGGGCCCGACATGGAGCATGGGCTCGCTTTTCCCCCGCACACGTCCATGAATGTGCGAAGACCCCCCTTGCCTATTTAACACTATACCCGGGGCCCGGCATAGCACGTCGCACGTAGGGAACGCCCCAACAGATTCTATGTGAGTGAAATCCATAAGTGATTTATTTTTACGCTGGCCATCAACCTACCGCAATCCTCCTCCTTTACCCGGGCTTGAGACCGGCTATACAAATGCATAGGTGGAGTTATATTTAAATGTTTCCGTGAAAAACTTCCCATTTACCTCGAGGGATTGGTTCTGTGGTGAATCACTTGAACTTAGTGTCTCTAGAAGCATTAGGTCTAAGGTTCAATTCCCATTGGGTGCTATCAATTTCTTGGGGCCACGCCAGCGCGCCAAAGGCCTGAGATTTACCTGCTCCATGTGGAGGGGGCGCTTTGCATGAATCTGTGGATTAGTCGGGGCAAAGTTTCAGACACCACGGTTATCAAAAAGAAAAAGAAAGGATTCAAATTACTGTTGTCTCTTCTTTTGTAATCCTGTTATCCTATTTTCGAACGTTCTAATCTGCTTGTTTATGTTGAAAGTTATGTTATGTTATAACATTGTTTTGATCTTCCTAAGCTTTTGTTCTGAGGATGTATGAATGTAAACTTCGTATTTTTTTTAGGAAGAGACTAGAATTTGGGATTCTGATAGTGTGCTATATGCTAGAATCATCTGGCCCCTGTGTAATTAATGATGTGAAAATATGTGCTTGGTTAGCTTGTATAATTTAATTGCTTAAGGTTTTGGTGAACCTTGTTTTATTCTCATAGCATCTTTTCGTGAAAGAATGTAGAATGTAATATCTAATTATATAATAAAATAGAAAATTCATACCACCAGATTTCAGTACTAGAATCGAATCTTTATGGGCTGTTTGGTTGCTAGATGAAGACAGATTTGAAAGAGAAATACTCTACTATCTTATTGAATATTGCGGAAAAAACAAATAAATAGGCAGCCAAGTTTAGTTGGCTTATCCGAATAAAAGGAAAGATAATCTCCTAATAAGTGACTGATTTGAATTTAATATTCAAATCAGATTTTATTGACTAATTCCTAATCCTAAACAATCCCGGATAATCACTAGGAGAAGATAAGGAAAGATTTGAATATCCTAAATCCTCCAAATTGATTTATCCTAATCAAACCCGATTTAGACCATTCTATCCTTAATAAGTCGACACTCCCCCTCAAGCTTGGACGTAAATGTCTATGAGTCCGAGCTTGCTTGCTAATTCTTCAAACGCTGGACCGTGTAGTCCTTTAGTTAGAATATCAGCCACTTGTTGCTTCGTAGGAACATATTTAGCACTGATTATCCCACTCTCAATTTTTTCTGTAATAAAATGTCTGTCAACCTCCACATGTTTAGTTCGGTCATGATGGACTGGATTGTATGCTATGCTAATCGTAGCCTTGTTGTCGCAATAGAGCTGCATAGGAAACTCACACTTAATCTTTAATTCTTCTAGTAGTCGTTTTATCCAAATTGCCTCACAAATGTCATGAGCCATAGCCCTATATTCAGCTTCAACACTACTTCTTGCAACTACAGCTTGTTTTTTGCTACGCCAAGTCACCAGGTTTCGCCAAACCTGAGTACAATACCCGGATGTCGACCTCCTATCTTCTTCAGAACCTGCCCAATCTGCATCCGTGTAGATTTTCACCTTCCTGTCCTCGTTCTTCCAGAAGAACAGTCCTCTCCCTGGATTCTTCTTGAGATATCGTAATATGCGGTAGACTATATCAAGATGTTTTGGACGTGGTGTATGCATGTATTGGCTGACCACGCTGACTGCAGAGGCTATGTCTGGTCTTGTGTGTGAGAGATATATCAATCTTCCCACAAGTCTTTGATATCTACCTGTGTCTACCAGGTCTCCTTCACCTGAATTCGTCCTTCCTCTTGGTTCAATGGGAGAGTCT